ATGAAAAATGGTTATTAAAGATAATTGTTTGAATAGAAAACAACGTTGGTAATTGTTTGGAAATTGTGTTTATTACTTTAAACCATTGATGGCGATAACGATGGCATTATATGGCACGATTCTGCATCATGTATACCGGCAATATTAACGCTCAACTCTGAACCTCATCCTTATGTATAATAATAAGAATAAGCAACACTCTTCACTGTCCCACTTAAGCCTGACAGTTCCCCTATCGTTGAGTGCTTAAAACCAGCCAAGGTCATGGACTCCACACGGACACCCACACTCACCTCCCCCCGCCACTTATCCCCCACGATGAGCACTTGATTGAATGCAAATTCCGCTTTGTGTCAGGCCATTCTTTAATGATTATTTGTGGAGCTGAGCCGGAGCCCGAGCCCCGCACGGCACCGTTCACTTATCGATGCCCGATAATCGGCCCATTGTGCCCGCCCGATAGGCAGCTGCTGCTCCTCCTTATGGAATTGAGCAATTGCATGGAAACGCAATTATTCTGTGTATTCACGCTGTCTGGGGCCACCCTCCCCACCCCACAATCATAATTATTATTGATCGAATTTCAATTTATTGTTACATTTTGTATCCATCCATTTGCCGCTCTCTGTTCTCTGCACTCTGCACTCCGCTGGTGCTAACAATGGCTTCTTGCTTCCATTTGGCGTCCGTCGTTGTCGTTGCCCGCTGTCAACGCTTCGTTGATGATTTTTCAAATGCGCTTAATGACCATCGGGTTTGGCAGAGACCCACACCTACACGCTCCAGCCCAGCCCAACCTACTCCGATTCCCGGATTCTTTGAACGAGAGGGAGCCGGGAGCCGGGAGCCAGGAGCCTGGAAGCCTGGGAGTCGTGCTCTGTGTGGCGTGTGATTGAAGCGGCTCTTAATGCATATGAAATGGTAATTACGCATACGCCGCATTGTGCAGCGGAAGGAAGGAAGGAAGGCATGGCATGGCATGGCATGGAATCGAAGTGCCATCTCCACTTATTGCCGCTCATTTATCTTATTAATAGCCTTAAGCTTCTCACAGTAATTTATCAAGCGCTAAAAAACTCGATCCACAGACATTTGTTTTGCCTTGCTTTGCTTTGCTTTGCTTTGCTTTGCTTTGCGTTGCTGCTTTTGTCATTTCTATAATCAACTTGGAGGAGACATTGACTGGCCGAAGAATGCCCAAAGTATGGCCAGGGCGAGCATCGAGTTTTGACAGTCGCCTTGGTCTAGAGTCTAGACAATGTAATTGTCGACAGCAGCAAATCGAGTGTCCACTCAGAGAGCCAGAGGGAGCCACTCCACTTCACCACACTCCCTCTAATGGCTTTTGTGTGGCAGTAAATCAGACTGAATCGTATAAATCACCAGGCAAGTCCCGCACCAGGCTTTGGCTTTCATATGTTGCGGCTTTCTAAATCACAAGGTGTCACAAGGCCCTAAAAAGAAACTCTCAGACAATTTTGATGAGGGTTCCGTTGCTTCTTCCTTTTTGCCAACGTAACTATGGCAAACAAATAGCGGCCGGGCAAAGTGAAAATGTGGAAATAGAAAAGGGGAATTGCAAAATGGATTGTGGTTGATTGTTGATTGTTGAATGTTGAACTAACCGCAGAATGGGGTCAGTAGTTATAGCCGGGCAGACACGGGGCGCTGTTTGCTTATTTATTTATTTGAAGTGTCCAAACAGTCGACCACTTGTCACGGACAACAGTCGCTGCTTGATTTATAAACATTTGCATATCGCTGGGCGCCACGTTCCATCCTTGGATGGGTAGGTTGTTGCTGCCCAATTAGGCGCAGCAATAAATTCAAGCGGCCAAAAAGGAAGAGGAAAGGAAACTAGCCAGCAGCGGGAGGGTGGCTGGGTGACGCTACCAGGCTGCTGCTTCAGAGTCTGCAATGCCGTTAATTAAAAAGTTTTTTAACAAGTTAATTGAAATAGATCTCGATTGGAGTTCTTATTGATATTTGGCTGACGTTTGGCGTTTACCGCTTGCCGCCTGCCGTTCGGTTTCTTACCAAAAGCGGAAAACGAAATGGAATGGAACGGCAAGGCATGGCATGGCACGGTACGGCACGGCACGGCACGGAAGGAAACTAAATAATTAGTTTGCTGGCCTCTTTTGGGGCAAAACTTTCTGTGCCACTTGAAGTGGCGAAGTTGATTCGGGAGCGCTGTGGCATCAGCGGCAGCAGCAGCAGGCTGTGGGGGCAGACTGTTTGCCAACAACTCGAGCACGAGCCACTCCACTCGACAAGCGAAAACTTAACACATTATGAGTTCTGGGGCTTTGACTTTCCCCCGTCATCCTCCACCCCCCAGCCAGCTGATGCATTTGACATTTACGTGGAAGCAACAGCTGTTACATAAATTAAAAAATATAAAGAAAAGGCCAAAGCCAAAGCTAAAGCAAAAGCGAAACGAAGTCTGCCATTACAAAATAAAAGAGCAATAACAACATCAACATCGGAACAAAACCAGAATCAGAAGCAGAAGCAGACTGGGACCGAGTGGGGGGAACTGGGACGTGGCAGGCTACAGGCCTCAGGCCTCAGGCTGGAACCGGGCATAAATAATATGTACAAAAGAAACTTTTTGTCAAAGCGCCCCAAGTGGCACTCGGTGCTCACCCTTTTTGCAGATAAGCCTGGCCAGGCACCCAATCGGGAAATCAATAATGATTTGGCCTAGCCATCGACTCTAAAATGACTTGGCAGGTTTTGTATTAAGTTGACAGTTTAATACTCTTTCAAGGGAAAACTGTGTGTGTAATAATAATTATTATAATTGACAGATTGATTAATAATTAGATAATGGTGATGGTGGGACGATGCATGGTCTCCACATAAATAAATGCACATCGGGGTCACCAATTAAATGCTCCCATCTACCTCGGAAAGGGGTCACCAATCACCAATCACTCCAAGCAGCGTGAAGTTTGCCCCCTGAAATGTAGTTCGCAGCCTTTGGGGGCAATGTGCGTGTCACCTTTCTGTTTTCTGGCTGTGCCTGCACAGTAGGAACAGGAACAGGAACTGTAGCCAATAGAGGACAGCCAGTGGTTGGGCCCAATGTTTTCACCTTTCAGCCTGGGACAGGAGTCATTAAAAAGTTGTGGCCATGCCGCCCCCGGGTAAGGGTAGAGCCATTTGAATGGCAACTGGCAGCCATGGCGACAGCGTCGCCACGTCGAGAGCAAAAGACTTGGTCGGTCATCAAAGTAAAGTGTTTTCCAACTTTTTCTTTTCTTCGTCTGCTGCTTCGTTTTTTTTTTTTGCGTGTGGCAGAAACTTTGTGGCGCTTCGCAGCTGCTCCTGCGGCGCTTGTTATTGTTCTTATTTACTATTAAAGTTGGCCTCGATGCTCGATGCTGGCTGCTGGCTGCTGGATGCTGCAGGGGATCGTAAACAGCTTGCGGCCGTGCCAATGCCACTGGGCAAGAGTTTCCCTTTTCAAATGCGAGCAGCTGGCTGCCGATTGGCTCTGCGTTTATCGCATGTGTGTGTGCGTGTTTTGGGCGCAGCAATTTCCGGCTCCATGTACCAATGGGCTTTATTACCAATTAAAGTTATTCAATTGCCGCGCAAAAGTTAAAACGTTGCGCTAATTTCATTTCCCCTGCGCCCCGCACATGTACATATGCAATGGGAATATCTATGCGAATTTTATGGTGCCGTTTATTGTTCGCCCAGCCACGTGCCCCTGCCCCGTGACCCGTGGCCCGCAATGCAGGCAACAGTTTTGTGGCATGCGGGTTTTTGGGCTTTGCTTTTGCATGTTTAATGCATCTAATCAACATTAAGCCATGTTTGAGCATGGCCAGGACACCACGCAAATGTTGTGCATTGTGTACGTGGGTCAACCGCTGGCGACACCCACAAAATATACAAAATTCAGTTGCAGTTACATCTGACGCTATTCTGTTGCTGTAGCTGTAGCTGCTGCTGCTACTGTCACATTTACATAATTTCATTTGCCACAGCTGCCAACCATTGCCACACTCCCGCCCCTACCACTCATCCGACATGTTGCTACATGTGTCTGCCACACACACACACACACACACACACACACAGCATACAGCATATTATTACACGTTTTTATTAACCAAAAATTATGCTCAGCTGTTGATTTGCCACGTCATCATCGGCAGTGGGAATGAAATTCCCTGGTAATTCTCTGGCTATTCTCTGGCAATTCCGCTGCATATTTTTCTTCCATTTCTCTTCGCATAAATATTCATCAGCTCTACACTCGTACGAGTATCTATGCCTTACAAAAATAGATGTAAGATCAGGGCCAGCCCAGGGCAGGGCACGGCTGGGCTGGGCTGGGCAGCCCTGTAGCTCTTTCATTAATTAAGTTCAGGGTTTTTTTTTGTATTCATGCAGTGCGTAATCAAGGAGCAGTGGCGCACAGGGGGGGGGTGGTATTTGGGGTGCCAATCATTCAAGGGATTGCCAGATGGAATCTACTCAGAGTCGAGTCGGTAATTTGTGACTACTGCACGATGACGATGACTGCGATACGAGAGCCACTCAATCTTGTTGAGTAAGCGCCACTAATTTGTTTTTTAAGGCTTGCTGGATGGACACTCTCCGAAGCCCAAAACATCCTCTTCACTTTGCATATTTTATTGACCGCATCGAGTACGAGTATGTATGGACCTCACCACAAATACGTTTTTAAGAGGCATCTCTCCGGCTGGAGGTGGAGGCAGCTGTGGCGGCTTTGACCTGGTGCAGCCCTGGGGCCTGTGGCAGTCAGCTCATGCAATTTGGCTATTAAAAATCATTAGCAGCAGGGAATTTTCGTCCCTTGGGGCCAAATATGAGGTGTCTGTGCATGCTGATGGAGCAATAACTTCGGGGGGCAGGCAACGTTGTTGCTGTTGCTGCTGATGCTGCTGCTGCTGATGCTGCTGCTGCTGCATACTTTGTGGCGTTTTTGGGCAGGCATTTTCATTAAGCACGAGCCCGAAGCATGCTCTGACTTTGTAGGAGCAGCGCCACTCACTCACTCACTCACTCACTCACTCTCAAACTATTGCCAGTAAAGTTCACAGCAACAACAACGAAAACCTGAACACACAGAAAGATGCCGAGAATCTCACTTGAAGAGCAGGCCGAGGTAATTGGCGAGATGATGGAAATTGTGAAGGAGCAGCCAGAGTTGTTGGACATATTGTATGAGGCGCTGATCGATCTAGAACTACATAAGCGTCATTGCCGACTGAATCCAAGTGTTGTGTTGCGTGCCTTTAGCTACGAATTTAATGACAATGCGCCAGCGGCTTAATCGAAGCGAAATCTAATCGTACAGCACTGAAATTTCTTGGTAAGCTTTGAGCTGGTTAAGGTTAAGCCTGTTTATAAATTAAGCCCCTTCTGCTTTTAGTTAAACAACTTGCCAATTGCATGCGACTTCGACTTAAGCTGCAGCTGGGGATGGGCATGGGATGCAACTGCAACTACAAAATTTAGATAATTAAAAATTCAGAGAACCGCAATAATTTTTTAATGTGAAGTGCAGTCGTAACCGCATCCTGTCCTGTCCTGTCCTGTCCTGTCGCGTCTCGTTCCGTTCAGTTTTTGGGAGTTTTGTTTGCAATTATAAATATGCAGAGATACAAATACACACACACACACAAACACACACAAATAAAGAAATATACAATGACCGAGAGAGCGAACTAATTGTGCAAAAATGTGTGTGTTCTCTGCAAATATTTTGTTAACAAATTTTAGCGGACATTTCAGCCACAGAAATGCAATTAGCCAGCAACGTAATTAACTAAACAAAGTGCGGAATTCAAAAGTGCTGCAGCTCCAGTGGAAATAAAAAAAAAAACAGAACCAGCGAATCAAATTCAATTTACAGCCTTGTACGAATATATGGAAATATCACGCATACGCTGCCGGGGTGGTGGCGGGGAGCAAAATTGATGGCCAGAATGTCTTTGACACCTCAGCGGCGCGTCATTTCATGTTGATAAGGGTTCAATGTTTGAGAGGGTCTCCCAGGGCCAGGTCCGGGTCCGGGTCCGGCAACGTGCTGCCTGTGTTTGAGCGGAGCAACAAGTTTGTCAGCGCCACACACAGATACTCCATGGCAGATACACAGGGGCCAGGCCAGGACAGCACAGGACATAGGACATAGGACAGCATAGGAATAGGGACAGGAACTCCTGCCATTTCGGTTATCAAATTGAGCAAACAAAAGCCCGACTATGGCCAAAGTTTGTCTCAAAATTAATTGAAGGGACCCTCTGTACCGCTGTACCTCTGTCCCACTGTTCCACTGACGATGACAAAATTCATGAGAATTCGTACGTGAAACTGGGTGGCCGGAAACTGTCGGCCACCTTTCATATTCACCTTTGGCCGGAAACCTGATTCATCGACGACAACTCTGGGACAGGGAACCAGTTCGAACCCAAAAATCTAATTATATTATATGTATAGGGTATTTTTTTTTTATTCGTTAAGTTTAAGTTTTCCCTAGTTAAATTTCTATATTTTCTGTCTGAGTTGAACTTTTATTACGGCTGTCGAGCAGTCAAATGGGATGGTTGTGTACTCGTACTGCCGAGCATCCTTCCGTCTTTGTGTTGCTGTAATTGCTGTAATTGCCGTATTGACTGCACATGTTCTGGCTTGCCCCCTTGCCCCCTTCCCCGACTTGCCCCATTGTCTCTGTGCCCATTGCCTTTTGTCACCTGGTCGAGTGTGAATGGAATGCCTTGCCTGGCATATCTATGCCGGTATGAACTGGCGTCCATGAATACCCACCCACCCGCAAGTTGTACTACTTATTTGCTTACGACTGCTGCGATTCCTAGACGCCATCTGAATGCAAATATCCTGAATGGCAGAGGGCAGAATATGGAATGGGGATGGGGGGTTTTTCTGTTCCATTTTCTGGCATTCATTAAATGTTCAAGCTGCTGTGGCACGACACATATTTCACCGTGGCGATGCGTCGCTGCTTTTTGCACTGCTTTGATCATAAATCGATTTGAGATCTAGCCCCACAAAATGCATCGTAATTTGGCAGCAGCTTTAATGAGTTTTTTTTGAGGCCTTCAAGCTTGCAGTTGAATTGTTCGATTTGCATTCATAACTCTTTGTGATTGTCCAGCCAATCGTTATTTATTTGCCATTGCATGTGAAAACTTCTCTGATTTGGTCCATCAATCAATCGATTCATTGTGGGCCACTGACCACGAGGGAGCGAGGGCTTGGGCAAACAAAAAACTTTTACTGCAAACAAATTGAGAATTTTTAATAAAAATTCTTGCGCTAAATTACGCTCAACAATCAAATCCAAAACCAAAGCCAAGTCACCTTTCCCCGACACCCCCACAGCCACAGCCACACCCACTCGCACTTGGAATTCCCAATGCTCTCCATTGTCAATGTCCAACTGTTCGCCTAAGTGGTGTTAAGTATTTGAAAATCTCCGCTCTGCTCTGCTCTCCCCCACTCCGCTCACTCTGTTGCTTTGCGGCCGCCTTCCGTTTTATTGTTTTACGACAGTTGGCCAAATACTTTGGCTAGCAAAAGTTTTGCCCCTCATGGTCATCCAATTGTCTGTGATTTACGAAGCTTGTGCGCCCCCTTCCTCTGCCCCCATCCACAACCTGGCCGGCCAGTAGTGGTCGGTCAGTCAGAACCCACAAACGAACAAACGAAACTCCACTGACATTTAGTGATATTGATTTATTGCCGCTCCCATTTGGCAGCTCAAATCTGAGCCACTGCTCCTACATGGGCGTGACAACGCAGAACGAGCGGCTTACGGGCCACTGTAGTAGGCACTGCTGGTCGGGCGCTTGTTCAGCCAGGCGGTGATCTCGTCCAGGCACAGGCACTGCCAGGAATTCCACTTTCACAGTGTTGGAGCTGTAGTGGAGCAGCTGGAGGGGCACCACTTGTTCGCTGGAACCCGTGAAAAGATTTGCCTTGATCTCATATATGTTGTTGTTGAAAACGTTTAGCAGCCGCAGTCGTAGCTTGGCAAAATTCTAAGATTCTTATTCATTCTCCGATTAGCCAAAAATTTATATTAAAAAATTATTTGTACATCTTACATTTCAGGTCGCCGGCCATACCACCGAAGGGCCACATACTTTACTCGGATCGGGCGACTACCTGGCGCCTTTTTGTTTGAACTTAATCGATACAAAGTTGCATGGCGGCGAGCTTATGTCAGACATCACCATTACACTCGATAGGTATGTTTCTCATCGATAGTTCCATTGTTCGTTTTGCAGCACTGGGGACCAAAAAAACAAAACCACAGGCTTTCACAAATTTATTAAAAAGCATTAAAACGAAAGAAATAAGAGTCCTTAAAACTTGACAACCTTTTAGATGATTGATTCTTATTTCTGATAAAATTATATGTTCAGTGCTAAGAGTGTTATCTCGCCAGTAATATTAAGCCGAATATCAAAGTGGAGGAATATGATTGATTGGGTTTTTTCCTCGGTATGTTTACGGTATATTTTGAAAATATTTCGGTATATTTCTGAGGGTCAGGCGGTATATTTGATCAATAAATCCGCGGTCACACTGATGTTTTTCAACGCAAAAATGAGCTGCAATTTATGAATTCTAATATCGTTTGTCCACAATTGGGAAACATGAGAATTTCCAGTAAGAACAATTTTTAAACGGCAGATTTCCCACAAGGTAAAAAGGCGTTCCACAGGTGGCAAGAACAGGCAAAGCATCCAAACAACAAAAACACCGGCATGCTTAACGACTTTATTGAAAAACAATTAAAAACTAAGGAAAACGGAACTATCGATGGGAAAAGACATCGTGTATTTTATTGATGTCTGACAAAAGCTGGCTTACATGAAGCTGGCGCTGCTACTTTTGCCACTCGCCGACTGGAGGCGCCAGTGTGAAATGAAGTCTGGCCTATGTATTGTTTGGCGCATTTATTTGAACTTTCGCACTCCATTGAAATAAAAACCGTAAGTCGTACGATTTTGTAATTAATATATTTAAATATCAGTTAATGTTATTTAGTAGAAGCATCAAGTACAATAATCATATAAATAGTTTCCTTCTGCGCTCTCGTCTTTGATTTTCGTTTAGCAAGTTTTCTATTACATAGACTACTCGTTAGGTTAGCTAGAGATACTCGTGGATACGACGCATCGAATCCACTGGATACACACGAACATACATATACAATACCATATACAACTGCCGATTCACATACAAGATATTCGTACAAACTAGAAGCGTACTAAGGAGCGCGAATGGAGTGGATTAATGTTCTTACGTTGGATATGGTGGGTATAATGCTAATTGAGTTACACGCGTAGAGCTTGACTTGTTTTGGGGGGAGCTGCCAGGTGGGTTGGGTATGGACTAAGGTCTATGGGGGTTGGTCTACAGGTCTACAGGTAGCCATGGCCGGCCACCTCGGCCGGTATGAAGCCCTCGCGACCGTCGCGCGTCTTCACGTAGAACCACTGGCGCTGATCCTTTGACTCGCGACACTCGCACAGCGTCACAATATCCCCCTTGTGCACCGCAATGCTCTCCGTGACGTAGTCCGAGTTGATGGCGACTAGAGTTTGACGTAGCCCGTTGTGCTGCTGCTTTCGTAGCACGCTCAGTGCTGTGGCCACCGCTGGCTGATGATGTGGCTGCTGGGGCTGCTGGGGAAGGGTCTTTGGATGCAGATGCTGTCCGTTGTGGCCATTGGTGATGTACGAGACGTTCGAGACGCGTCGCGTTGCCAGGGACTGAGACTGGGACTGGGACACATGCAGATGGGGCTGCTTCTTGGTGCTCTTCTGCTGCTGCTGCTGCTGTTGCTGCAGCGTGACGTACTCATCGTTGGAGGCTCCGCTCCGTACCGATGCTGAGCCGGAGGCCAGACCCACCTGCTTAGTGGAGCGCAGCTGGGCGTAGGCCTTCTCCACGAGCTTTGGCTGGGAGGCGGCTCGCAGATACAGCTTGTCCACATGCTGCTCCCCGTACAGAGAGCTGGTCGTGCTGCCCCCCTTGGTCACCTGATGTTGGCTAATGCTATTATTGTTGTTGTTGTTGTTATTGATGCTCAGGGGCAGCACCTCGGCGACGGGTTTGGAGCTGCGTGGAGTGCGGGCGCCATCGGAGCGAGTGCCGCCGCGCATACGAATCTCCTTCTCCGAGTCGGTCATGTTGCCGCAGGGACGGGGAAAGACGTCTGCGTTGGATTCCCAGCATGGCGTGTGCCGGGAGCCGCTTCGAGCCGCCTGCGGGAGGATTCCCAGCGGCAGGCAGCAGGCATAGCCGACGTAGCCCTCCTCCGCGTGCGGCGTCTGCACGTACAGCCAGTTCTGGTTCTTGAAGACGGCATTCACGACCATGCCCAGCGGCAGGGGAATCTCCAGCTGATAGCCACCCGGACGCGTCTGGTAAAGGGTGCTGGCCGTGGCCAGGACTACGGGTATGTTGCCCGGCGTGGCCAGCGAGCAGCGCGACAGGAACTCGTCCACGTTGTGGATCTCATAGCCGAAGCGCTGTACCCGATTCCGGTCCCTGCGCTTGCGATGGCGATGCCGTCGCTGCTGCTGAGGGGCCGCTCCTCCCGGCACCCCGCAACCCACTTCCGAGGCTGCCACCAGGCTGGGCTCCGAGTAGGTGCACTTCAGCGAGTCGGCTGTCGTGACTGTCGAGGCTCTCGCCTGGCCGTTGCACGACTCTCCCGCGTTGGTGGAGGCGGCGGCGCCTACTCCCATGGAACGCGCCTGCTGCAGCCGGCTGGCCAGCTTCTTACGGATCTCGTTCCGCTTCCGGGCCAGTATCAGGGCCTCGCTGTGCGCATCGCTCTTGGGCGCCCGCTGGGGCGTGCACACGAAGAGCAGCTCTTTGGTGGAGGCGGCGGCCACCGGAGCTCCGGCCTGCGCATGGCTCTGGCTCCGTGGTACCGCCCTTTCCTTGTAGTCCAGCAGATTCTGGTTGCTGAAGAACTTCTGCTGGCCCAGATGGCCGTTGCCCGGCGCCTGGTGACCCGTGGGCGTGGTGGCGTACCCATTGAGGGGCTCCGTGCCGCCCGGCAGCTGCTTGACTCGGTACCGCTTCTTGCTGACGCTGACATCCAGCTGTGTGGGCACTGGCTCCGTTCTCGTTTGCCCACCACCATTTCCAATGCTGATGGATGTGTGCTGCAGTTCGTTCTCCTTGTGGTCGCCACCCAGATCCGAGGACTTGACCTCGTTGGAGTCCTGGTTCTGGGTCTGCTCCGGCGCCGCCGGCTGCGGCTGTTGCTGCTCCCGGAGCACCCAGGTGAGTGAGATTCGAGGTCGTCGCAGGCTCAGATTCTGACCCATCGCGTCGTCGTCGAGCCCTAGCCCTACAGCATGCTGCAGTTGGGGTGTGCTCTTGGCTCTCGGCCCTACGGCAGCAGCGACTAGTGGCAGCAGCTCGTCGATCTCCACATAGTCCGAGCTGTACTCCAGTCCCTCCTCCTCCTCCTCCTCGCCCTCTGCCCGCCCGTGGGCTACTGCTGGCGTTGGCGGTGGGGGCGTGGCCGTGAAGTTTCCCACTGAACTGTCGCTGCTTCCGGGCTGCTGGAGAATCAGGGCGCAGGCGTGCAACAGGTCCGGACAATAGGCATCTGCAGGGTTTTTCGAAAGATGAGTAATTGTTAGACGAAACTGCAGGCCTCCTTTTGGTTTTCTCTACTGCTTACCCCTCAGTCCGCGGCTGCGTCTGCGTCTGCGTCGACGCTGGCGCCTAACTGCGCTGCCGCCGCTGCCCAACTCGCAGTCGCTGATGCTGGATCCGCTGCTGCTGGAGCTGTCGGTACTAGATGCGAATCGTAGTTCCTGCTGCTGCTGCTGCAATTCCCGCAGTCGTCGGCGACGTCTTGCCTGCTGCTGTCGCGCTGCTGCTTCGCTGCTGCTGGCTGTTGCTCGCGCGGGCGTCGCTGCATTATCCGCCAGCTGCGGCGGACCTGACCTTGCTCCTGCTACCGTTCCCTGCCTCTCTGTGTAGCTGGGCGGTGGTGTCAGCGGCAGGGGGCAGTAGAATGGCGGCGGCGTGCAGTGCACTCGACGGCTGGACTCTTCCAAAACGTAGTCGTTCTCCTGCGCCTGCAGCTCTACAGTGACGGCATCCTCATAGCCCAGTGGGTGTCCATGTCCATCCCCTGGCGGGGCATCCGTGGCGGTTGGATCACCGCCATTCGGGCGGTAGGTCGGCGGTGGTGTGGCAACTGTGGGGGCAAAAGATGAATGGAAATTAGTTTTGGGATAGCTCAACGTAATTTTCAACCCCTCAAAACTTTATTTACCCTTTATTTTTGTAAGTTCTAGACCCCTGTTTCCCATAGTTCTATCCCCAAAAGGGTTGAATGGACACTCGCCACAGATTGAGAGTGATCCGGAGAGCCCCCAAGCAGCCACCACTTGCTGTTGTCTCTCCTCACAATCCTCCTGCACTGCTTGGCTCTGCTGCTGCTCCTCCTTCTCTCAAGACTTCACATGACAATAAAAATTCCAATTATATTAAAGATTCTTTCGAGTCACAAAAAAAAAAAAAAACAATGATGTGCTCTGTCCGTACGTTCAGCTCTTCCCACATCTCATGCCAGTCATAAAGACCATTGAGAGGCGATAACGACGACACCTGAAGCGGCGGCATAGGAGGACAACACCCACACGGGAGAGCAGAGAACAGAGCAGAGAAGAGCAAAGGAGACAACAGTGGAGCATGGAAGGGGAAGGGGAAGGGAATATTTAAAATATTTGCCAATATAAATGTCAGGAGCCGGCGGGAGAGTGGCATGGAAGCCGCTTGCTGACTCGGCCAATAGTTTGTGGCCGCCTGGCTATCAAGGCCAAGATCAGCGAGAGACTCTCCCAAATGGCCAAGCAGACGAAGCTGTATAGGAGAGGAGGAGGAGTAGGAGGAGTACGAGGAGGCGGCCAAGAAGGCCAAGAGGACGGTGCAGGAAGAAGCGTGGCCAATAAAATTCCAAACTGATATGCTCAATGGCAACAACGTGCCACAAGTGAGTAGTAAAATGTGGAAACGTGACGGTATTTCAAAAATACCAAATATTGGATTGGAGCAGCACCAGCACCAGCGATTCCCCATCCTTCCATTCCATTCCCTCACTGCTCTCCCTGCTCACTCTGCATGGCTCTGCTTCGGTTTCGGTTTCGGCCCATTCGCACAACGTTCAATGAAAAGAGAAAACCTCCAATCGGAGGACAGGATACTCGTGTCGTTTTAGAGACTAGCGTACACCCTATCCATATATGGACTGCTCTTCAATTTATCTCACACACCACACCAACAAATCGTATCACAAATTATGGCCAGAGAAATTACAAATGGAATTCAAAGACCAGCAAATTGTCACAAATTAAAACATGGACAAAGTGGAAGGCCAATTAATAATTATGATGTACGGGGGAATGTAGTAAATATTAAAGAAATGCCACTGGAGGTGGTATGTGTCCCACAAGGGTCCCCATTTGCACACCCAAAAGCAGACATTGTGGAACATTTCCTCGCACTACTTCAGCCACCAACGAGGAGTGCATCATACAAATAAAAACATGCAAGTTTGACCCATTCTATGATCAGAAATGTTGCGAATACTCCTCTGGGATCTGGAGAAACTTCAACAAAGTGGTGCAACCCCTTCCATGGGATAGAGTACACACCCATATCCATAACTAAGGCGTGATGAAGCGCAGAAAGGACAAGGCCCTGAGCCCTGGAAACAAGGCAAAATCTACGGGCCCAGCAGCAGCAGCAGCGATGCAGCGTCTTTAACGACAACGCCACAACGGAACTGTGGAACGGGTGGTAGAGTGGCAGAGTGCTGGAGCTGAGGGGTCTGTCAGTCAGTTGACCAGTTCTTGGTCCCTGTCCCTCTCCCCTACCGCCACCACGGGCCTAATCAAAAAGGTTCAAGCGCAGAGATCGTGCGAGGATTACATGGGGGTGTGACGACAGGCCGGCTCAAAGTCATTCACTCCGTCGACTCCTACTCCAGGGCACAGGCACAGCTCCAGCTTTAGCTTCAGCTTCAGCTTCAACTCGATCGTGATGCTGTGGCCTTTAATGGCCTCTACGTGAGACATGATCTCTGGCAGGCAGAGGGGGGATGGGCATGCGGGAACCTATGGCTACATATCGTGGGCGTGGCACAGTGGTGCGGCTGGGCGGCAGGCAAAAACGAAAACGAAAGTGTTTTGCAGTTGCAACGCTCCATCTGTGCTGCTCTGTGGCTGCCCTCTAATTAAACGCAGACGGCTGCCAAATTAGCTAATGGCAACATTGCGCCGGAACCAGCGACTCCAGCGACAACTGCAGCAACAACGATTGCAGCCCATTGCACAAATCACAAATCCAAAGTTGCAACGCCTGCCCAAAAATGGATAAAACTCTGACAAATTTGTTTTGCAACTTGTTGGTCCGCCCGTTGCAAATATGGTGGGTCGGTTGGTCTGTCGTTTGGCTGCAACATGAACATGGCTGGCCAGTGGCCACTGGGGCATTGTGGCCGGCCCATGTAAGGGACCGGGGATCGGGGACCAGTCAAAGCGACAGCTGTCACTCGCTGACTCGACACTGGACGCTTGGACGCTTGCTCTGTCTCCGTCTCTGTCTCTGGCCCCTGGACACCAGTTCAGGCCTGAGACCCCCAATGCGACTTTGGTGATAATAATTCAATCGAGAAATGTCGAAGCGTGCAAATCACTTTGTTTGACTTGTGTGTGTGCCCCACTGGCTTAAAAGGCGTGCGGAATTGATTGGAGTTGCATGTGATTAAGTGCCACATGACGAGCGTCAAGAGAGCCCCCACAGCCCATCTCATCACAGAACGACATGCAAAGAAGGTCTCAAACTGCATGAGCAGCAAAGGATCTTGCGTTAGTGATCGGAACTTCAGAAAAGGGAAGGCAGTGAGGGTCTAGTTTGCATAGAAACAGAAAGTATCACACGATTGGACGGATGCTAATTCAGAAAATAGAGTAGAAAATGCTTATTCTCAGCGTTACAACGTTGATTTTCCACTGCAGGGAACTCTTTCCTTGCTCCCACTCTTATATTATACGCTCTCTCTCTCTCTCTCTCTCTCTCTCTTCAGTTTCCTTGCTCTGATATCGATAAATTCCGAGATAATTCTGCGATTAAGTGAAAAGTTAACCGGAAAATGGCTCTCAGTGTGGGAAGCTCGATCTGCAGGATGATCCCCTCCCTTTGCTTCCATCACTCTGCTCTGTTCATTCGCTCTGCTCTGCTCTTTCTTTCTTGCTTGGCTTGGCTTGGCTTGCTGTGGCTGCAACATACTACTCGTGGATGCTGCATGCCGCACAATCGATAACTGTTTTTGGACGGCGTTTCGCGCACGTCCCTCGCATATATATCTTAAATGGCAGCAGCAGATAAGACGCACTAATAAGATAAAAACATTTTAATTGCCACTAAACATGGCAGCGCCACAGACATACAGCTCTCCCCCTCGCCGCCCTCCCTCTCTCTTTCACTTGATCTCTGTCTATCTCTTTGCTTTGCTTTAGGCCAAACAACTGTAAAACGGCTATAGCCATGGCTATGGCAACCATATGCTGCTGCTCAGACGCTACTGCTGCCTGCCTGCCTGCCAGCCTGCCTACTGTCTGCTAATGGGTTAACAAAACGCCATGGACAGGCAGGCAGGCAGACAAATAAATAAAACTCTGATTTCGTTGAGATTTAATTAAAATTGAACTTCGAATCGAAGTTGGGGGCCTTGCTGAGGTGCCAAAACAAATTAAAATGCTTCTGGAGGATCATCAAAACGTTAATGACCATCGCTGGGGACCCCAGTATGCGCCTCGGCGCACCAAGCCAATCCGACGACTCTGTCCCGCCAGAAACCATAAAATCCAGCATAAACTTCGACGACTGTCAGGGCTGCCCCCACAGTGTCCAAGGCAGTGACTCCCAATCCTTGTTGACAAGTCGAAGATTGGAGTGGGAACTGAAGGTAGAGGAGGAGCTTCACCAGGTGCCAACACATGCCTTGCCACTGCAACCAACCACTGACACTGGCACTGGAACTGGCACTGGCCCATCAAATGGTTAAATTTATGACACAAATAATTTACACAAATTTCAGTTTTTTAGCTTTTCAATTAGCCAGGGAATCTGGTGGTGGTGCGTTGGGCCTCTGGGATGGCCATGGAGTGTAAGTCTGGAGTATCGACTGTGCGTGTGTCGAGTGTCGAGTGATGTGGGGTCTATTAAGCCTATTTTTATGACTTTTTAATGCCCTGTTCGGCTTTGGGTGGTCAAGACATTTCAAAGATTTCAATAGGTGCGATTCCCGAACGCGATCAAAAATGAATTAACTTTTTTTATGCTCATGACTGGGCCGGGCCTCAAGGAGCAGAGCAGCCCTTTCTGGTATCTGTATCTGTGTCTGTGTCTGAGCATGGTGTCTTGGTGTCTGTGTGGATGGGGGGGGTTGCGCTTTCTGGCCATGGCAATAAAATTAAACGTTTGTTAGCTTTTCGGCTTTTGGTGTTCAGTTCGGTTCGTTTCGTTTCGGCTTTGGTGCGTGTGTTTTAAGCGGTTTTAAATATTTATGAGCCCATTTGTAGCATCGTTTGCTCACATAGCCCCATAGCCAACACAAAAATATCATTTTATGGCCTCAATAAATTTAAATGTTGTGGTTGGACGACCCACGTGGCAAGTTGGGGGCAAAGGTGTGGCATTGACAAGTGGCAAGGAATCGAAAGTTGGTTTCATCGAGCAACAGCGGTCACAGGATATTAATTTTGTGTGATTTATGCTGCACAGAATTTATGAAGTTTGTGCCAATTTATAGTGCAGCTAACGCTCCGATTATGTTCGTTCGCAGCATTCATTTCTAAAGTCAGCTTCTAAAACTTTTTGGTTCCATAAGTTCCCCATTAAGGCCACTGCTTTTACATTTCATAGGGAAAACTGAGAGCCAGAGACAACTTTCTTTGAAGGATTCTTATCTCTCAGACTGGTAGCAGGGAGAGCATGGCGAAGGACAGTCCAACAATTGTTGTCCAAGGGCGTATTTATGGCTCATTGACCAACTTGGAGCACTTCCAGCCACTCCAACATATGGCCAAGTGGCTGGACTTCTGCTTGTGCTGCTGCCTAGCACAGGCCAAGGCGAAATCGAGTTAACAAAAGACAAATGCCGCCCCGTCCTGTACTGGCGTCAAGATAAGC